TTGTTTGCTTGCTGGAAATGAAGTGCTTCTTGAAGACCTGGTGGGAAAAATCAGGCAGACCTTGTATTTGCTTGAGGAGAATGCTACTAAGAATTAAAAAATATGGCCTTTAGTAGTCATTCTCGCTGCCCTAAGGACTGATTGTTAAACAGTCTAGTAAATGTACTTGACTTAGAAGCTTTCTTTTCACTGAAGGTTACTGGAGCCTAGGTGACCTAAGGATGTTTATTCAGATCTACAGTTTTATAAGTAAAATTATTATATTTTCTAACAATAAAAAAAAATCTTTAAAAAAATTAAAGATTGAAAATAATGCAATTGATAATTGCAATCAATAAGATTGCAAAACTAAGTAGTGAAATCAAATTGAAACTATTGGAGGAAGGGCAAACAGGAGAGAACCTTTTTCAGTAAACAGTTTTAAGTAAAACTTGAAGTTTCCTCCTCATCTCCTCAAAAACCAGAACCTCGTAAAGTTCAGGATATCGGTATCTGAAATTGATCTGAAGTCATTCTTCAGTTGAGGGGAGTTACTCAAATGAAACTCTGGAAACTTTCAGTCTGCTCAAGGAAAATATTGGGGCTCTCATGTGGTTTTTAGTATTATTTTGTGTAGTTTGTAATCTCTGTAGTTTGTTTCTCACAGCTGGGCACATCAACAATGCTGTCTGCCCATAGTATGCATTATGTTGCTAGCCTCTGTTAGGACTTCTAAAACAGGGTCGCATACTTTCAGGTGTTTCCAGGGCTTTCTGTGTTGTAAATATTGTGGCATTTGATACTTTATGTGGGGTTTAATTTTGCCTTCTTTTCTAACTTAATATAATTCAGTTAAAGATGTGGCAGGATGCATGTGATAATGATTTCAGAAGGTAGCTCACCATCAGTTAATGACCTGCTACACCACCTGGACACTCACAAGTCTATGGGGTCGTATGGAATCCACCTGAGAGTGCTGAGGGAGCTGATGGAGGAGCTTGCCAAGCCACACTCCATCATTTACCGGCAGTCCTGGTTAGCAGGAGAGATCTCAGACAACTGAAGGCTTACCAGTGTGATGCCCATCTACTAGAAGGGCCGGAAGGAGGATCCAGGGAACTGCAGGTCTGGCAGCCTGACCTTGGTACCAGGGAAGATTATGAGGTGGCTCATTCTGAGTGTGCTCACACAGCGTGTGCAGGATAACCAGGGGATCAGGCCCAGCCTGATCGGACTGGGTTTGTGAAAGGCAGATCTTACTTGACCAATCTGATCTCCTTCTATGACCAGGTGACCCACCTAGAGGATGAGGAAAAGGCTGTGGATGTTGTCCACTTGGACTTTAGTAAAACCTTTCACACTGTCTTCCCACAGCATTCTGCCAGAGAAGCTGGAAGCTCATGGCTTAGACAGGTTAAAAACTGGCCGAGTGGCCAAGCCCAGAGAGTGGTGGTGAATGGAGTTCAACCTAGTTGGCAGCCAGTCAGAAGTGATGTCTCCCATGCGTCAGTATTGGGGACACTCCTGTTTAGTATCTTTATTAGTGATCTGGATGAGGGGATTGATGGCACCCTCAGTGAATTTGCAGATGACGCCAAGTTGAGCAGGAGTGTTGACCTGCTGGAGGGTAGGGAGGTTCTGTGGAGGGATCTGGACAGGCTGGGGGGGTCGGGCCCAGGCC